TTAGTGTTTACATATGGTTAATTATTTAAATTGAAACATAATTGGAAAATATGTTCTCCACAACTATTTAATAAAATGCAAAACTGGTTCTTTTAATTAGGGTTACTGTTGATGATGTTTATTTCCACTTAAAACCATAATCCTAAATTACTGTTTTATAATGCTGTCCTATATGCTTGATTTTTTTTTAATACCTTTGCCCTTTGCTATGTAGAAAATTTGCACAGCAGGTATGTTCTTTTTTTTTTTTTTTTTTTTTTCCTTCCCTGGCTGTATCATCTTCAACTTTATTTCTTGTCTTGGGTTGTTTGAATTTCATCCTGCACTTTTAAATGTCTTTTCCTTCTTTATGGCGGGAGGGGAAAAAGAGAAGAGGTAGAAGCTACATTTTAATTGCTTTTGGAGCTAAATCTAATGACAGCTGTACCGACAATTTTCTTCTGTGTTTACATGCAGCCAGGAGCTATGGGCGGAGAAGAGGTAAAAGTATTTACTAAATGTTTTGTTTGCTGAATAGTGGGAGAAATAAATATTTAGTTTTCTTGTGGTAAGATGATGTTACCAGTTTTAACATTATTTAGTTGATCAATTGCTTTGTGTAAATCAATCTCTCATTCTTCCCTTGCTAAACCGCTCCCTTTTAACAGCATCTTAAGGCAGTGATGATCCTGAGCTGGTAACTTCAAGTGTTGCTATTACTAGAGAACTGGAGGATGACTGAATGTAAAGATTCTCATGACATTTGTTTGTGACTTGAAATGCATAGTGTTCCAAAAAAAGATCAGTTTTGGGTTTATGTTTGGTGTTTGTTTGCTTTGTAGAAGTCCAATGTTTAACTGCTGCATCGAACATTTGAAAATGACTTTTTTCTTACATGAAACATCTTTTGCTGAATATTAGACTTCATTACAATGAATTGCCTCAGATAGAACATGTGTGAATACCAATACTAGTAACTGTCCTCAACAGTGAATATTGATAATAATTTTTAAAAGGTACAGTATTTGAGCACATTTTAACAGTATTTCATCATAGACAACCCTTAAAACATAAAAGTAAACTGAAAATATTTTATAAATGTACAGTGCTACATATCAGTTTATTCTGAGAGGTGAAGGAACAAGGACAATAGCAAGTCCAACAGCTGTACTGAGCAAGCCACTAATGCAGCTTACATTTATGTCCTGTGCTGTAGCTTACACAGACTGGTTGTTATTGAGAAAATAACAGTGAAAATAGCAACTTTTAACAATTATGTTTAGGCAGTGCCATCTGCATGGGGTACTTTAGCATTAAACTTAATTGTATCTTCCTTTCCATTAAGTTCTCTGCCAGCTATGCAGGTGACATTGTCCCCTTTTCCAAATGTAGAATTTGCATCACATTTGTGAAGAACCTTAGAGACAGATATATCCATCACACAAACCAATAGTGTCTAAGGGCTTGTAATTTCTATGGGTTGAGTGGTAGGCTGTACAGGCCATACTAACACAGTTTGTAATACAGAATTTGCTCTGATTTTGTTCAAAGCGGACACATTTTAGTGTTCATTTGATAGCTAAGTCTGAAACAAAAGATTCCGATTTTCCTCACAAACTTACTCTCTGTACACATGAACACTGTTTAATTTTATTTTAAGATTGTGGCAGCTGTTTCCAAGTTGATCAAATAGTACCAAAGTAGGAAAGGAGGTAGGAATCAGTGGGATACTATGAATTACTGGCAACTCCTGTTTACTTGTAGAAGCAAAATACAATAATGCAGAAGTAATTGTGATGAATGTAATTTAGGCTCTTTTATACAAATATTAGTGAAGACAGAACAGGGCAAACAAGTTCTGAATGTGCTGGCTTTTCAGATTTTTTTTTCTCACTACCAAGAAGCATGTTTCATTCCACAAGACTTTCAAGACTTTTTTTCCTTTGTGAAGTGCAGGCTTTTCCATACTAACAAGTAGATTTATGTGTGTGTGTGTGTGTGTGTCTTGTCATTAATGTTAGGGATTTTGACTTGCCTCATTCATATTGAAGTCTGCGATGTTCATGCTTTATCATTACCTTGACTTTTATGATGTTGGTTTTGAGCTTCCTTAACGTTAAGCATGAAATTCTACAACAGTCTGTTGAAAAAATGTGTTGGTTATCAAATATTCTCATATATCTCTCTCTATTATTGCTTTTGCCATTTGCATGGGGATAATATGCAGAGTAACCACAGGCAAGTCTGTGCAAGGACTCATTTTATGTTTGTTACACTTGGATATTTTAATTAGTGTTTGATTCTGTCACTTGTGACTAAGCATCTGAGAAGAAGTTTTGTCAGACACTTCTTGAGACTTGCCATAAATTCTCAGTTCCCTACTTGATTCTCTTTTTCCTTTGAGAAAAGAGATGAGCAATTCTTTGTAGGTATCATGCTTAGAGCTGTTGAGTCATGTTCTTGGTGCCTTGTTTTTTTAACTTTTACAACCAGTTTTTCAGGTACAGATGTAAGCACCGCTGTCGGAAATCAGCCCAAACTATTTTGCTACACTGACAACTCAGAGATGCCCAGGGAGGGGTACAGGAGTATGTTACAAAAGAAGTGCATTTAGTGATGCTTTCCTGTAATGTTGTCCCAGAAATTTGCCCAGGGGGGGTGTCTTGAGGTGATGTTTTAATATTTATTACCTTAGGTTGCATTTTTCTCCTGTTCTTACTCATTCCCTTTTCTAAGCCTACATAAATTTTTAAACATCCCAAAAAGTCTGTAGCAAGGGTTTCCGAAGTTTGCCTTGCTTTCAGCCTTGGCATGTACTGATTGTGTTCAGTGCAGTTCATTTTTCCCTATACTGGAGAAGACCATGAACAGTCATGCCCTATTCCATTGTCTGGGTGCTTTCCATTATTTTAAATGTATTCTTACATTTAGCTCTATACTTGACTTAGCTCTAAACTTACAGAACATCATTTGCATTTATTTAAGGTGCTTGTAGACCGCCAAGTGTCTGGCATGGTGCTTAGATGTGATACCTTGCTTTCTAAGTTGCTGTGAATTTTTATTATTTCCTTCAGAACTCAGTCTCCTCTGCAGATCTGTATTTTATTTGAACACCTTGTTATTAATTTGATATGTCATCTTCTACTAATGGCTCGTGTTTGTTGTTTGTTTACTTTCTTACAAGAAGGTAGGTTTATGAGCAGGAATTAAAAGATGATTTTTCTCTCCAGTAATGTCAATCTCTGGGATATTTTCAGATTTCCTGCTTTTCAATGAGTGTTCTGATTTGGTATTTTTACACAGTTGTAGTATTCTTAATTATTTTTTCTTTCATGCAAATGTTCTCTTTTATGTTGAAATGCATATGTTTATACATGTGCATGATGTGTTTGTCCATTAATAGAATATTCATCAAAAGTCACTTCTGTTTTATGTTCTAAACCCACCATTTCTGACAACAAGTCTTTGAAAGGTAGCATCTCTACATCTTTCTCTGATTGTGGCATTATTTTTTATGTTGATGTGTAAATGCACAGTAGGATTTTTACTTCGGTGGATTTTTGTATCTGTAATCTCTTTCATTGTTTAACATTCAATATATTATTTTCAATTAACAATTTTCTGGTGCCTGATGTTTGTAACAAAAGATCAGGCTTGTGTTGTGTGTCAGTGACTTTCCTGACTTTGTTAGCTCGTTTTCCCAACGCAGGATTACTGCTTCTTTTTTGTAATCTGTCCTTTGCTGCTGGAGACAATTACTGATATTTTCAGTGTATGTTTTTTTGACAGCTGTCCCTCTGTCTTGATTTTTCTCCTTGCCTCTGTTTTTATTTCCTTCACTTCCTCTGCTGTTAATACCAGTATGGTATTAAACTGTAGGTCTTGCTATGTCAATTTCATGTGATTCATTACCTTTTAATTTAATTATGTGCATTTACAAAGGTATAAATATATTTGTATTTGTAATCAACCTCCCCATAAACTGTCTGCATCAATTAATTATAATTCCATCCCTGGGAGAAATCCTCCATGGTATGAGGGGACAAGTAGCTTTTTCAGAGTTGACGTGTGGTTCTTATTTATACATCTCTCTATATTGCAGGATGTATTTTTCAACTCAGGTATAGGGAATTGTTAAATTCCAAAGATGGCAAGTGTTGCTTATATGCAGTCTTTGAATATTTTTTAATCTTCCTTGTTAATAAATCTGTTCTTAAGAATAATGTGTGTATACTTTGTTAGTAATAGCAAAAAGTTACTATTGCATCAGATTGTTACAAATAAGTTCTTTACTTTTCATTGACAAACTGAGTAGCAGCCATTTATGTTGATTTTGCCCATTCATGACTGAAAGTTAAACTTTTAACTCAGTAACAAACAGGATGACAGGCTGTTCTAGCTAACAATGTTTTCCTTCAAGTGCATGTTTGTTGTTTATTTGAAAAGATTTTTTTTTCTTGTTCACTGAATCTCTTCACTTCCTGTTTAATATCCACAATCCAAAGCTTTTCCATGTTTATTTTGCTGTTTGCCCCCATGCTCAGCGTGGGCCTGTGTTCCCTGGAGGTGAAACTGCTGCAGCCCTTGCTGTCAGGATCCTGTACAGCACTCAGAGGACTGTCCTGCTCTGCAGTGCAGTGGCTTGAGGGATCTTAACAGATCTTGAAAGAATGATCTTACGGAAAGTGCAAATCTCTAACTGGTTTGAAATGTAAATCTTGCGAAGGTTATTTCTGTAGCTATGACACATAATTTCATCAGATAACTTGCTTTTCATTTCTATCCATTTTTGCAAGGGTTTGTTTTAAAGCTAAATTAGGTTTATGGTCTTGTAAGGGTAATACACTCTTGGAAAAATAGAAGCAATACTAATGAACATGAATTGGAGACCTGGACCACCTAGCTGGGTCCTTTAATGCAAGTTCTGTTAAAGTAAAACAGTAAAAGGGAAAGTTTTTTACTTAAATATTTAATTCTCCAGGAAATAGTGTTAACTGTAGATCCCACAAAATCTGTTCCAGGTCGGTCTTCGCTGTTTCCTTTTGAGGATGGCTTCCTAGACGACAGCCATGGGGATCAGTCATTGTCCTCGGGTCTCAGCTCTCCGACACGCTGTCAAAATGGGGAACGAGTGGAACGCTATTCTAGAAAGGTGTTTGTTGGAGGTCTTCCTCCTGACATTGATGAAGGTACTGTGAATCACTTGCATTGCTGAGATGTGGGAATTGCCTTTCATATAATTTCTATTAAAAAGGTGATATTTTCATAGAGGCTAATGGATTTTCCCAGGTGTGTCTCCTGTAGTGCTCATGGCGTTAATTAGAACAAACACACCCTGCCACCCCCTGCAACACCCAAGAGTTTACCTGATGTTCTTGTGTGCTGTAGATCAGAAGAGATGGAGACAGAAGTGGCTGCCTAGCAGGTCTTCTGATCTGCACGTCTTCCCACGACTGTCAAGTGGGAAAGCTGAAAAAGGGAACTTAGTGGGTACTGTCTCTCCTCCATAGTCTTTTCCTATTCTTGGATGTGGTTGACTTTAAAGACTTTATTAATGCAGTTCTTGCCAAAATACTGTGGGCTTTAAATAATCAGCTCGTGCACCCAGCACATATGTAGGGTTCAGGTGATAAATATAGGGTAATAGTATGGTTACAAAGCAATAACCTACTCAGCAAGGATGGTCAGAGTTTTTCTCCATCATTATCTGCTCTACTTGCATGTATCCCCACAAACCCTTACTCCCAAACTAAAATCATGACAGTTTTTGGTGTATTTTTCATGGCTGGAATATAGCTGGAATCCACCACTGTCTAGCTTCAATGGGCATACACAGGGAATTTGAGGATGTCTTATAATGAAATGAGGGAGATCTCTAATCTACTAATCTGAAGCCTAAACCATGTACAGTTTTAATGAAGAAATAGTATGAGTTGCCAGTCTATGTTTACAAACACCTCAAACGCAGTGCCCACATCACACCAAGAGTTGCAGGGCTGTTGTATGGGGTCTGGTGGCTAATCTGGATCTGCAGCTGTAAGAAGCACCAGCCCAACTGATGTGCACATTTCTGCTTCACTCAGAGTCAAATTATATGCCCAGTCTGTCCTGTGAGGAAGTAACATGGTGGCCTGGGAGCTGTCAGCCTCTTTCTTGAGAGGTCTCCTTCAGTAACCCTTTATCCTTCAGCTCTTCAGGTACACAATATGTGTGTTCTGTCTCCTGACTGAAATTCTGATATGCAGTTCATGGGGTCAGAGAAAGTGGACACATCTCAAACAGCAATCCAGACTCTGTAAAACCCCATTGCCTTTTCTCCTGATGGCTTGTTACTCTGATCTACCTAATATCGCATTAGACATTATTTTAAACTAATTCTTTCTTTAAAGTATGTCTAAAAATGTATTGAGAAAATAAGATTTTTTCAAAAACAATTTAAAATGCTTTTTTCTGAAGGATTTGCACATAAAACAAAATTGTCCTATAGGATAGCTCCTGATGTGTGTTACATGGTGGTTCCAAGTTGATGCTTAAAAGTGAAGAAAAAAACTGGGTAATTCAAGGCAGATTTCCTGAAGGGCCTGAGGAAGGTGAAATGCCCACAGTGGCATCACTTGCTGCAGCCTCTTTCTAGGGCAAGCTGCAAGGAGCAACCGTGCTGACATGGAGCTCCTCCATCAGTCCCATGTGGCTGCATCTGACCCTGCTTTGTGGCTATAATTAGAAATAGACCGCAGCTGAAGCATATTCACTTCTGATAGATCATGTTTGCATTTAATCCTGCTGCAGACTTCCACTAGTGGAATGTAAAATCACTTTTTAAAGCAGCCATATACAGCACAGAGATTAAAGAATATTTAGGCATCTGCTATGGACATCATTGCAGTTTTCACTGTTCTTGTTTTGTTTTGCTTATTAAGCAAGACCTTTTTGCCTTTCCAGGTTTTTTTTGTCAGTTTTTATGTTCTCTCTAAGGTGCCTCATTCATTTTTTTGTAGATGAGATCACTGCCAGCTTTCGTAGGTTTGGACCTCTTGTGGTGGACTGGCCTCACAAAGCTGAAAGCAAGTCATATTTTCCACCTAAAGGTAATTAGTTTAAAATATACTTAAGAGGGCTGTTCTGGTAAAAGGAAATTACATCTGCCATGTAGTAATCCACTGTAGAGCAAAATTGTTACTCTTTATGGTGAATTTTCTGTCTTTCATCAAGCATATTTTCAGCCATTGTCCTGACGGGGAAAAAAAATTCACAATTTGGTTATTGATATGTGCTCCTCTGTGTGTACTTCTTCAGCACACCTTGAACCCTTGAGTTATGCCTTAATTTGTACCAGCAGTAGGTAGAATGCAAGTTTCAGAAATTTCATAGCTGATTCTGTTGTGATTAGCATGTTGCCAAACCCATGGGAGTAAGAGGAAGTCCCTTGGATTGGGTCACTGGGTTGGATACCCAGTGTTTTGCAGGGAAGTGACTCCAGTTGTGACCCAGGAGCTGTGGTCCTGCTCCACATCAGGGCTCCCCAGGCACTGGGGTACAGAGTGGGCTCAGCTCAGAGGGCACCTGGGTAGGGCCAGAGTGTGAGCAGGGGGGCAACCTCTGATGGGGCAGCACAACATTAGCACACCTGTTTTGGGTGAGAAGGAACAGCTTGTGGGAAATCTCTTTGGGAGGGTTATTGGCTAAATCAAACTGCTCTTCCTGTACGCTGCTCTCTCTGATTTTGTGCAATACATTCTGCTCTCTTTCACGTGTGCCTCTTGCATGTAGCTCCTGAGTTCATTCGTGATCTGAAACAGTAGCAGCAAGTTGTACACAAAATTTCTGGTCTATATGCAAAGATTTCCATTTCTCATTGACCCTGGAAGCTCTTAATTGCTCATTAAGGACACTGATTATTTTGGCAGAACTATGGGCTGTTCAGTCAGTGAACTAGCTAATCCTGAAATATTTTGGTAGATATAGTTTGACAGTAAAAACATACAAATAAAAGCCAACTTAATTTATTTGGGTCTATATGCAAAGATTTCCATTTCTCATTGACCCTGGAAGCTCTTAATTTATTCAGAAGCTTAATTGCTGGAGGTGAGATAACACTGTGACAAATACTTACCCTGTGAACAGTATTTGGGACACTTAAAATCAGAAGAGAAGCCCATACATGCTTCCTCTTTCCTGTTCCATTCTCACCACTCAGTCTTGCTGTCAGCAGTTATGCAGCATCTGTTCTTGAATTTAAAAACAAATCAAACAACCCTAAAAAAAAAAACAAAAAACACCCCAAACCTCAACCCCCCTGCAATATTCCTAAGGAGAGTTGGTAAAATACATGCTTTTCCCTTTTTGTTATTTTTAAAGATCTCTGGCGTCTTTCTGGCTAGTGAATTCTATTTGTGCCTTCACTTAAAAGTTGTTTTTTTTAAAGTAGAAAAGCTAGCTTCTCCTCCTTGTCCTTATTATCTCTTAGTATTCTCTACTTGTTCCCCTTTTTTAATTTTTTTTCCTCTTATTAATTCAATAAGTAACTATTTCTTGAATTAACATGGGACTTTCAATTTTCATTTTGTTCTCTATCTGACTGTGGACTAGTTATGCCTTGACAAACTTGTCAAATGTTTTTGAGTAAGATCTATTTTAGCAGAAGACAAGGGAATGCAGCCTCACTTCTATTTTTGTCATGATTCTAATATAGGAAACAGCTTTCAAAGCCCCTGCCAGTTGCCCTGAACGTCTGTCTGAAAGTGCTAAATAACAGTCAATCCCAACTGTTCCAGATTTATTTATATCTGACTTCTTAGTTATCAGTCAGGGCTGCAGCATCAGACATCCTGCATGCCTGGCTCTGACATTCACTTACAGTCGTGGTGAGCTGCGTAGGTAAAATGTACTTGATTTACTGTGATCCCACACAGGCAGCACCTACGCAGAAGGCAGAATACTATGTCCAGGAGTCAGAGGGTAACATTTGAATGTCTGTTCTAATTTTTTCACAGCTTTTAGGTTGGTTTTTTTTTGGTTTTTTTTTTTTTAATAAAGAGTACTTACTTTTCAGAGTTATTATGGAATCATTTTCAGAAGTACCACAATAAAATGTCTCCAACGCTCATTTTGATCAGAAGTTCCTTTAGACCTAAAATTTAAGTTGGTGGGCTTTGGTTTTGGGTTGTTTTTGTTTTACTTTTTTATTTTAAGCTGTTTTGGTGTATTATTGGACATTTCCTTAAAAAATACAAAAAGAGATTCGAAATTATGCTTGGTGCAAAATTCAGTGAGACTTACTCCGCTGTCAAGTACTCATGAATGAAAATGTTTTCTCCCTTAATTTTTCTAGATGTCTTGTCTTCCATGTTGCATTGCTAGTCTGTGTATTTTCTGACATTTTGAATATGAGTCTTTCAAATGGAAAACATGTCCAAAAAAAGGACAAATGAAATTCTAGAGGAGAGAATGAGCTGAGGTTTGTGTGCTAGCAATCTTGAAAGAAAACAAGAAAAATGAATTGTTGGAGTGAAGTGGGCATGATGCAGAGGCTATTCACACATTGATAAAGCCTGACCTTCAAGGCTTCTCCCAGCATCTTGAATGTGCCCTAGAGGCAGTAAAATTGAGCCCTGCTTTTTCTGAGCATATGTCATCACCTCCAGATGGACTTCAGTGTCCTTTTGATGGATGACCTTTTCCATTACTGCAGGGTCAGGTCATTGGGCAGTGCCTGGTCTTTCAGCAAGGTTCAGGATTTTTGTCTGTTTGCTTTGGTAAGTGTTCACTGAGAGGTTTGGGGTAGACAGCATCAGTAGGTGATGCCATGGGTCAGCACAGCCAGTGAAGTTTTATGCTGCAGCTGCTTCACATCATTGTTTTCTGTCTTCAGTTACATCCAGGTAAAGCAACATCCCCTGCAGTCCTGAGTGAATCAATACAGATTTCCAGTATCTACTTGTTGGTATAATTTATTGAATTTTGGAATGTTTGCTATGCTGATGCAACACATGAATTCCCTGTAGTTGGCCTGTATTAGGGGCACTCTGTTGATATTCTTAGGGCTAGGAAGAGAAGGCTGCAGAAACCATTAACTATGGCTAATCTGATCGAGCATGAAATCTGAAAGATTAAAATGTTGCTTACAGTCTGGTGACCTCCACCATCACCCCCAGCCCCCCTGAGGGCTTTATCTGGTTAGTTTAGTGAGCAAGTCAGGCCATAGATGTGTAGTCAGTTCCAGCAAGCCCTATTAGCTAATTTATTCGTTGGTGGGCTTGATTAGCTTAGCTGTAGTGGCATGTGAGCTGTCATTGGGACCAGTTGGAGTCCAAAAACATTCCTGCAACACTGAGCTTGAACAAAGGTTTTCCTGGATTTGGCATCCTGAGCAGGATGGAGTCACCACAGGTCTGCTTAGGCACATTACCTCACATTGGTGCTGGGCCTGATGGACATAAATGTTTGTGTGTGAAATGATGCTGAGCTGGGATCTCCAGCATGGTGAGTTACTCCAGGCTTATCCCAGTGTGCTTATAACGGTGCCATTTTGGATCTTGGGGGATGGCAGAGCAACACAGATGTATCTGCAATATATTCCTCAAGCACATCATTGCTATCTGTATATTCCAGGTTTTCCTGTTTTCTCAGATATTCTAGGGGTTCGTTACCCTTACTGAATCTTGCCTGATGTCACAGAATACACTGATCAGTGTTTGTGAAAGCAGTCTGCCTTTGTCAGTGTTTGAGTTATGTGCATTGTAACAGCAAACCCAGAATCATTCTGTAGATCAAGCACAACTTACCTTGGTTGCCAGTGAGTTCCATATTGCTGAGAGAACAGGGATGCTCTTGTCACTGAAAATGAATATTGTGCACTTGGACAAGAGAAGCTGCCAACAGCTGACAATGTGTGGAAGAGGCTCCTATTTCTAGTACTGAGCATCTGCATTGTTGCCTTAACATTTCTTTTTACCCCTCCTGTGCATTGTAAGCTTAGCACCATGTTTGTATGTTTGTGTCATGCATGAGGTGGTTTTCAATGCTTTGCCTTCCCGTTGCCTGAGAAGTCTTTGGATTACTTCCTTTGGCATCTGTTTGGATATGTTACTAACTGAACTGGCAAAATTATAAATGCCATGTGTTGGTCTTGGGTAAGCAGATGCCCACTTCATAATGTGTTTACTTGGCTTTCACCCCAGAATTTGGGAATTAAATGTGGTTTTTGGTTAAGTATCTTTTGAGTACCTATCAGACATTGAGAAATAAAGAGGATGCTATCAAAAGTAGTTGCACATTACTATGTCACAGTCTATTTATCTCTGGCAAAATCCAGATAATTCATGTTTTATTTAAATATAAATTGATGGGGTTTTCACTTATTTGCTGGTGTGCTGAGTTAAGCAATGCTTATGCTAACTACAGTGATTTTTTTCTTTCCTTTTTTTATTAAACAGATGGTGCCAACTGTTTCAAAAACACTTTTTTCAGTTGTTTTTTCTTTAACAGATTGCTAGCTTTAAAACAACTTTTAAAAAACTCTTCACTGTTTTTTCCTTGTGATAACTATGATTTTTCTAGTAATCACTAAGAATTTAAAACACCATGTGTTTTAAAATGCCAAAAATTATGCAAAAATTTTCCTTTTTTCCATTTAGAAACACTGATATTTGGATAGGAATGAGAATTAGAGTTAGAAAATGAAGCATGGCAGAGCTTGAAGATAGGATGGATTTGGAATGGGAGGAATGCCTTGGCTTTACAGTCGCTTCAGATGTGTGATGCAGCAGTCTGATCCTTTTGTGTTTTCCCTATTCTTCAGTTTGTTATGCTGTTATCTGATAAAATTAAGCACGTTTGTCCCTACTGCTCCACATGGGACACTAGGGTGAGGGAGATCTCATGAAAAACAAAACAGTATAAGCCAAGTTGCACAAAGTAACATGAAATTATTCTCATGCTTTAATTTAAAAACAATTGGTGGGACAGTGTGAGCCTCTCTGATTCTCTCCAAAGCACTGTTTAGATGGGAACACTGTTGTTGTAGTCTTTTCACTGATCTTGATTTCATGGATGATGACCATTTCCATGGTTAATTCCATTGCCACTG